AGTCGTTTATTGGTTATCATAGGTGTAGGGGTTTTCATGTATGGGTGAGGAGGGATATTTGTGTTATCTCAAGTTCATGTTTGTGTGGTTGTTAATGATTTATTCTGTGTAAGACCTGTTTTTGTCTTTATCTATCTCTTGTATTGTATTGTTCTAAATAAAATATAAAAAAAAAAAGATACACTCTTGAAGTCACTCTGTTTCGCTCCATTCTCTCTACATGTCCGAACCACCTCAACAACCCTTCCTCAGCCCTCTGGACAACAGTTTTGGTAATCCCGCACCTCCTCCTAACTTCCAAACTACGAATTCTCTGCATTATATTCACACCACACATTGCCCTCAGACATGACATCTCCACTGCCTCCAGCCTTCTCCTCGCTGCAACATTCATCACCCATGCTTCACACCCACATAAGAGCGTTGGTAAACTATACTCTCATACATTCCCCTCTTTGCCTCCAAGGACAAAGTTCTTTGTCTCACAGACTCCTAAGTGCACCACTCACCCTTTTCCCCTCATCAATTCTATGATTCACCTCATCTTTCATAGACCCATCCGCTGACACGTCCACTCCCAAATATCTGATACATTACACTCCTCCATACTCTCTCCCTCCAATCTGATATCCAATCTTTCATCACCTAATCTTTTTGTTATCCTCATAACCTTACTCTTTCCTGTATTCACTTTTAATTTTCTTCTTTTGCACGCCCTACCAAATTCATCCACCAATCTCTGCAACTTCTCTTCAGAATCTCCCAACAGCACCGTGTCATCAGCAAAGAGCAACTGTGACAACTCCCACTTTATGTGTGATTCTTTATCTTTTAACTCCACACCTCTTGCCAAGACCCTCGCATTTACTTCTCTTACAACCCCATCTATAAATATATTAAACAACCACGGTGACAGCACACATCCTTGTCTAAGGCCTACTTTTACTGGGAAATAATTTCCCTCTTTCCTACATACTCTAACTTGAGCCTCACTATCCTCATAAAAACTCTTCACTGCTTTCAGTAACCTACCTCTTACACCATACACCTGCAACATCTGCCACATTGCCCCCCTATCCACCCTGTCATACGCCTTTTCCAAATCCATAAATGCCACAAAGACCTCTTTAGCCTTATCTAAATACTGTTCACTTACATGTTTCACTGTAAACACCTGGTCCACACCCCCCCCTACCTTTCATATATATATATATATATATATATATATATATATATATATATATATATATATATATATATATATATATATATATATATATATATATATATATATATATATATATATGTCGTGCCGAATAGGCAGAACTTGCGATCTTGGCTTAAATAGCAACTCTCATATTGTCATATAGGACAAGTGAAAATTTGTGTATGCAATAATTTCGCCAAAATCATTCTGAACCTAACGAAAAAATATATTTCACTGTGTTTGTTTAGTATTAAATTATTGTAAACAAATCTAAAATATATTTAGTTGGGTTAGGCTAAAATAAATTGAGCTTGTTATAATAAGGTTAGGTAAGTTTGCTAAGTTCCTTTTGGTGCAAAATTATAAATTTTTATATCAACATTAATGAAAAATATATATATTTAAGCGTATAAGAGAAAATTTTAGAAAGGACTTAATTTTAAATGAGTTCTTGCTAATTGACCAGTTTTACATATTCGGCACGACATATATATATATATATATATATATATATATATATATATATATATATATATATATATATATATATTATTATATATTATATATATATATATTATATATATTATATATATATATATATATATATATATATATATATATAATATATATATATATATATATATATATATATATATATATATATGTATAGAGAGAGAGAGAGAGAGAGACAAGGCACCGTTGTCCCAGTAACAGCTTGTTCTGGAACGTATGTTGTTCCTGTTTTCAACCGTTGTCTGCCAGTATCTGATTATTGGAAAATCGGGAATTCAATTGACCCTGATTGAAGATTTTTACGAATTTTAGTCTGCCAGTCAGGATGTTGCTGCATCTTTGACTGGTGAGTTCCTTCCAAAGTGGTGCTCTGATGCCGGCTAGCGGCTCCTGATCCAAGGAATTGGAGCTACCCTCCCTTGCATCAAATCTGATTCCCTTATGAACTCCCTTTTGAAGTAGAGGAGGCTGGGCTTGTGAGATACAGGGATACCTGGAGATCATTGAAGTAGAGGAGACTAGGCTTTTGAAATACAGGGATACATTTCTGAGATCAACTGACATGCTAAACGATATTCTTTATTTTCTCGAAATCCTCCAGCCTGTACGAAGATGTTGAACAGCTGTTCTGTTTACTGACAAAACACCGTCACAGTGTTTACTAACAAACAAAACACCTCAGTGTTTACTTACAAAACACCCCAGTGTTTACTAACAAACATAACGCCATTACCTCAGTGTTTACTAACAAACATAACGCCATCTCCTCAGTGTTTATTAAGAAAACACCAACCCCTTAGTGTTTACTAACAAAACACCTCAGTGTTTACTAACAAAACACCTCAGTGTTTACTAACAAAACACCTCAGTGTTTACTAACAAAACACCTCAGTGTTTACTAACAAAACACCTCAGTGTTTTACTAACAAAACACCTCAGTGTTTACTAACAAAACACCTCAGTGTTTACTAACAAAACACCTCAGTGTTTACTAACAAAACACCTCAGTGTTTACTAACAAAACCTCAGTGTTTACTAACAAAACCTCAGTGTTTACTAACAAAACCTCAGTGTTTACTAACAAAACCTCAGTGTTTACTAACAAAACACCTCAGTGTTTACTAACAAAACCTCAGTGTTTACTAACAAAACCTCAGTGTTTACTAACAAAACCTCAGTGTTTACTAACAAAACACCTCAGTGTTTACTAACAAAACACCTCAGTGTTTACTAACAAAACCTCAGTGTTTACTAACAAAACCTCAGTGTTTACTAACAAAACCTCAGTTTTTACTAACAAAACACCTCAGTGTTTACTAACAAAACACCTCAGTGTTTACTAAAAAAACCTCAGTGTTTACTAACAAAACCTCAGTGTTTACTAACAAAACACCTCAGTTTTTACTAACAAAACACCTCAGTGTTTTCTAACAAAACACCTCAGTGTTTACTAACAAAACCTCAGTGTTTACTAACAAAACCTCAGTGTTTACTAACAAAACCTCAGTTTTTACTAACAAAACACCTCAGTGTTTACTAACAAAACACCTCAGTTTTTACTAACAAAACACCTCAGTGTTTACTAACAAAACACCTCAGTGTTTACTAACAAAACACCTCAGTGTTTACTAACAAAACACCTCAGTTTTTACTAACAAAACACCTCAGTGTTTACTAACAAAACACCTCAGTGTTTACTAACAAAACACCTCAGTTTTTACTAACAAAACACCTCAGTGTTTACTAACAAAACACCTCAGTTTTTACTAACAAAACACCTCAGTGTTTATTAACAAAACACCTCAGTGTTTACTAACAAAACCTCAGTGTTTACTAACAAAACCTCAGTGTTTACTAACAAAACCTCAGTTTTAACTAACAAAACACCTCAGTGTTTACTAACAAAACACCTCAGTTTTTACTAACAAAACACCTCAGTGTTTACTAACAAAACACCTCAGTGTTTACTAACAAAACACCTCAGTTTTTACTAACAAAACACTTCAGTGTTTACTAACAAAACACCTCAGTGTTTACTAACAAAACACCTCAGTTTTACTAACAAACACCTCAGTGTTTACTAAGAAAACACCTCAGTGTTTACTAACAAAACACCTCAGTGTTTACTAACAAAACACCTCAGTGTTTACTAACAAAACCTCAGTGTTTACTAACAAAACCTCAGTGTTTACTAACAAAACCTCAGTGTTTACTAACAAAACACCTCAGTTTTTACTAACAAAACACCTCAGTGTTTACTAACAAAACACCTCAGTGTTTACTAACAAAACACCTCAGTTTTTACTAACAAAACACCTCCGTGTTTACTAACAAAACACCTCAGTGTTTACTAACAAAACCTCAGTGTTTACTAACAAAACACCTCAGTTTTTACTAACAAAACACCTCAGTTTTTAATAACAAAACACCTCAGTGTTTACTAACAAAACACCTCAGTTTTTACTAACAAAACACCTCAGTGTTTACTAACAAAACACCTCAGTGTTTACTAACAAAACACCTCAGTTTTTACTAACAAAACACCTCAGTGTTTACTAACAAAACACCTCAGTGTTTACTAACAAAACCTCAGTGTTTACTAACAAAACACCTCAGTTTTTACTAACAAAACACCTCAGTGTTTACTAACAAAACACCTCAGTTTTTACTAACAAAACACCTCAGTGTTTACTAACAAAACACCTCAGTGTTTACTAACAAACAAGCACCTTCACCTCAGTGTTTACTAACAAACAAGCACCTTCACCTCATTGTTTACTAACAAAACACCTCAGTGTTCACTAACAAAACACCTCAGTGTTTACTAACAAACAAGCACCTTCACCTCAGTGTTTACTAACAAAACACCTCAGTGTTTACTAACAAAACACCTCAGTGTTTACTAACAAACAAGCACCTTCACCTCAGTGTTCTAACAAAACACCTCAGTGTTTACTAACAAACAAGCACCTTCACCTCAGTGTTTACTAACAAACAAGCACCTTCACCTCAGTGTTTACTAACAAACAAGCACCTCAGTGTTTACTAACAAACAAGCACCTCAGTGTTTACTAACAAACAAGCACCATCAGTGTTTACTAACAAACAAGCACCTCAGTGTTTACTAACAAACAAGCACCTCAGTGTTTACTAACAAACAAGCACCTCAGTGTTTACTAACAAACAAGCACCTCAGTGTTTACTAACAAACAAGCACCTCAGTGTTTACTAACAAACAAGCACCTTCACCTCAGTTTTAGGACTCAAGTCAAACACAAAGTAAATATATTTTTATTACAATAATTTTCTGATACACAATAAAATAATAAAATAAAGTTGCCATATAACACAAGTTTATTAGTCAAGTGAAGTTAACAAGTCTGTGACGCCTGTGGTTCTGACGTCATAACGATGCTAACCAGTCACGGGCTGTGGGGGTTATGACGTCATAACATTGTTAACCAATCAGGGGCGCTGATGGTTGTGGCGTCATGCAACTCTAATCCCTTTTGTTGTGATAAATGATGACGTCAGAGCCAGAGATGCGTCACATTGATCACTGTGAGTTGTCCACTTACCCCAGTGTACTCACCTAATTGTGGTTGCAGGGGTCGAGACTCACCTCCTGGCCCCGCCTGTTCACTGACCGCTACTGGGTCCTCCCTCTCCCTGCTCCATGAGCTTTATCATACCTCGTCTTAAAACTATGTATGGTTCCTGCTTCCACTACATCACTTGCCAGACTGTTCCACTTCCTAACAACTCTGTGGCTGAAGAAACACTTCCTAACATCCCCTTGACTCATCTGAGTCTTCATCTTCCAAATGTGACCCCTTGTTTCTGTGTCCCATCTCTGGAACATTCTGTCTGTCCACCTTATCTATTCCACGCAGTATTTTTGTATGTCGTTATCAAGTCTCCCCTGACCTTCCTGTCCTCCAGTGCCGTCAGACCGATTTCCCTTAACCTTTCTTCATAGGACATTCCCCTTAGCTCTGAAACCATGTGTAATCACCTATATGTGGTTGCAGGGGTCGGTTCACAGCTCCTGGCCCCGCCTCTTCGCTGGTCACTACTAGGTCCACACTCCCCGCTACACGAACCTTATCGTGCCTCTTCTTAAAGCTATGTATGGATCCTGCCTCTACTACGTCACTCTTCAGATTGTTTCACTTTCTGACCACTCTGAGGCTGAAGAAATGCTACTTAACACCCTTATAAATCTTAGTTTTCAACTTTCAGTCGTGTCCCCTTGTTGCTGTGTCCCATCTCAAACATTCCGTCCCTATCTACCTCGTCAGTTTCTCTTAGTATTTTGTATGTCGTAATCATGTCATCCCTATATCTCCTATCGTCCAGTGTCGTCAGGTCGATTTCCCTTAACCTCTAGTCGTAGGACATACCCCATAGCTCCGGGACTAGTATTGTTGCAAACGTACTTAGCCAGGTGTGCTCCATACTGGTTCTGCGTACTCCAGTATGGTCCTGACGTACACTGTGTACAGTGTGTGGGGGGGGGATCATCAGAGGCAGGGGGGGAAGGAGCATCACTTCACTACATGTAGTTGACTCAGACTTGATAATATGTATATCATTTTATTCTTCTTTAGTTACTCCTGTAGTGTCAGTAAACAAAGGTTTTGGTATTTGCAAAACATCTGCGTAAAAAATACAATTAATTCAAACAATAACAGACTAGTAAATTACTGTTTAAGCAAATATAACGTATATAAACTAAATTTCATATAAAAGAAATGCACTGTATATAATTAGAAAAAAGAAACCAGTTTCATATATCCTATATACTGGTAGGTGTATTTCTCTCAGAATGTATAAGCTGAGATTACTTTAATTCCTACTTTTCATCGACACCATGCCTAACCCTTCTAGGGTAGGGTAGGTGCCTGAGCCCGAGCCTTTAGCTCATAAGACTGTCATTCCCATTTGCCCCCTTGGGGCGGGGATGGCAGACCAGAGAGGCCTAGCTTGTGGCTAGGCCTGGGGACAGTTGGTCCCAAAGATGAGGAGGTACTTGTGCCTCCTCCCATGGGAGACTTAGGTCTCAGACACTCCCTAAAGAGGGAGCCAAGGCCGGGCCACCACTTGGAAAAGGCCCGGGCCGGGAGAATACCGGCGAATCTTTAATAATAATAAATAATTCCTACTTTAGTAATAAAAGTATTCCTGTCTGGTGCAGTCTTACTGACCTTTGAACCCCATTAATCAACCTTAAGTTACATGCCGCTATCCTTACATCAACCAGGTTTCCAGTGACTGAACTAATGCTGTTATCTTCTCAGATGTTTCCCAGAAAATTTTGCTGAGAAATGTGTCAGTATTTAAATGATTCGTGCGTTGAGATTCCAAAGGCAAGAAAGGTAAGTTCTGCTTTACGATCAGACGATCTGCCTTTACTTGCTGTTGGCAGATCAGTGCCAGTTAGTGTTGAAAATGAGGATTCGTGCCTAACATTAAGAACGCAAATGTTGTGATTGCAGTAGCACCTGATACATATATGGGAAGGTTGATTTATGCCCAGACAAATTGGGAATGATCCACACAGGTCCTCTCTGATGTAGAGCTTAATTATTTTATTCTCCTCAAAACTTGAGAAAAAAATAAAAATGGTGGAGCTATACAGTAGACCCATTGGGCCATACTAGGCACATCTAACTCATACCTGTCCACACCCACTCATGTACCCGTCCAACCTAAGCTACTCAAATTTCTTCAATAACACTACCTAGGAGTTTCTTGTTTTCAATCTTTACAACTCTATTACCAAACCACCACTTCTCCATAACCTTTCTAAATCTGAATTTGTCCATTTTGAATCCATTGCTGCGAGTTCCGTCTCGGTTAGATATTTTCAACACTTTTTTATATTCTCTCAATTGATCAAATGTTTTCCATTTGTATACTTCAACTACATTTCCTTTAATTCTGTGGCTCATTAAGACGCTATGACTAGTTTGGTTACAATCAGGAGTCCTGAAGAGCTCCTCTGGTACAAACTGAACCAGTCAGGAGTCCTGGAATGCTCCTCTGGTGCAAATTAAACCAGTCAGGAGTTCTGGAGAGCTCCTCTGGTGCAAATTAAACCAGTCAGGAGTCCTGGAATGCTCCTCTGGTGCAAATTAAACCAGTCAGGAGTCCTGGAATGCTCCTCTGGTGCAAATTAAACCGGTCAGGAGCCCTAGAATGCTCCTCTGGTGCAAATTAAACCAGTCAGGAGTCCTGGAATGCTCTTCTGGTGCAAAATAAACCAGTCAGGAGTCCTGGAATGCTCCTCTGGTGCAAAATAAACCAGTCAGGAGTCCCGGAATGTTCCTCTGGTGCAAATTAAACCAGTCAGGAGCCCTGGAATGCTCCTCTGGTGCAAATTAAACCAGTCAGGAGTCCTGGAATGCTCCTCTGGTGCAAACTAAACCAGTCAGGAGCCCTGGAATGCTCCTCTGGTGCAAATTAAACCAGTCAGGAGTCCTGGAATGCTCTTTGGTGCAAAATAAACCAGTCAGGAGTCCTGGAATGCTCCTCTGGTGCAAATTAAACCAGTCAGGAGCCCTGGAATGCTCCTCTGGTGCAAATTAAACAAGTCAGGAGTCCTGGAATGCTCGTCTGGTGCAAAATAAACCAGTCAGGAGTCCTGGAATGCTCCTCTGGTGCAAAATAAACCAGTTAGGAGTCCTGGAATGCTCCTCTGGTGCAAATTAAACCAGTCAGGAGCCCTGGAATGCTTCTCTAGTGCAAATTAAACCAGTCAGGAGCCCTGGAATGCTCGTCTGGTGTAAAATAAACAAGTCAGGAGTCCTGGAATGCTCCTCTGGTGCAAAATAAACCAGTCAGGAGTCCTGGAATGCTCCTCTGGTGCAAAATAAACCAGTCGGGAGCCCTGGAATGCTCCTCTGGTGCAAATTAAACCAGTCAGGAGTCCTGGAATGCTCGTCTGGTGGAAAATAAACCAGTCAGGAGTCCTGGAATGCTCGTCTGGTGGAAAATAAACCAGTCAGGAGTCCTGGAATGCTCCTCTGGTGCAAAATAAACCAGCCAGGAGTCCTGGAATGCTCCTCTGGTGCAAAATAAACCAGTCAGGAATCCTGGAATGCTCCTGTGGTGCAAAATAAACCAGCCAGGAGTCCTGGAATGCTCCTCTGGTGCAAAATAAACGAGTCAGGAATCCTGGAATGCTCCTGTGGTGAAAAATAAACCAGCCAGGAGTCCTGGAATGCTCCTCTGGTGCAAAATAAACCAGTCAGGAATCCTGGAATGCTCCTGTGGTGCAAAATAAACCAGCCAGGAGTCCTGGAATGCTCCTCTGGTGCAAAATAAACCAATCAGGAGTCCTGGAATGCTCCTCTGGTGCAAAATAAACCAGTCAGGAGTCCTGGAATGCTCCTCTGGTGCAAAATAAACCAATCAGGAGTCCTGGAATGCTCCTCTGGTGCAAAATAAACCAGTCAGGAGTCCTGGAATGCTCCTCTGGTGCAAAATAAACCAGTCAGGAGTCCTGGAATGCTCGTCTGGTGCAAAATAAACCAGTCAGGAGTCCTGGAATGCTCGTCTGGTACAAAATAAACCAGTCAGGAGTCCTGGAATGCTCCTCTGGTGCAAAATAAACCAGTCAGGAGTCCTGGAATGCTCGTCTGGTGCAAAATAAACCAGTCAGGAGTCCTGGAATGCTCCTCTGGTGCAAAATAAACCAGTCAAGGGTTCTAGAGAACTCCGGTACAGGTCTCCCTAACCTATCACAGATCCACCGAGTTGTGTTTGCAGAGGTCGAGACTCAGCTCTTGGCCCCTCCTAGACCACTCGATCGTCATCACTGATTTCTAATCTCTTGGGCCTTATCGTACCTACACCTGAAACTGGGTATTATGTTTACCTCCAGAGGCTTTTTTTTTCCAAGATTTTAGCATTTTTCGAAGTTAATCATTTCCATTTAAGATAAAAGGTTGAGTAAAATTTTAATATTTTATAGAAATAAAAAAAATATTTATGATAAAATTTTTACCTTTTTTTTATTTTTTTCCAAACATTTTAGGAAATTTCACTTTTACACTGTAAGATATTTTTTTGGTTAAACATAAATAAAGTAAAGGCGTGTAGTGCTATATTTTGCCATTCACCCGTCACACTCTAGCTAATGCAGGCGTGGGTGCTGGCGTGGGTGCAGGCGTGGGTGCGGGCGTGGGTGGCAGAGTAGAGTGTTGTGGTGAGAGGGAGAGGAAGGTTGTGTCTGCAGAGTGAGAGAATCTCCTGGTCTTGTCCAGTGCCTGTGTGTCACTGTTGTTCCTGGCACTGACCTCCAGGCTGGTGAGGTGCGCTCTACCGTCACTCTGGTGCACACACCCAGCCACACCGCACCCTCCTATCTTCTGTACCGTCGCTGCTACAGCTGGCCATACCTGTACCACACAACAACCGTAATAACAATCATAACAACATTCATTATCATCATTATAGTTATTATTATCATTAATAGCAACAGTATTCATTGGAAGAATCTTCAGGTAAAAACCTGACCAATGGCCGCTGCTATGTGTGTTTATGTGTGTGTGTGTACTTACCTATTTGTGGTTGCAGGGGTCGATTCATAGCTCCTGGCCCCGCCTCTTCACTGATTGCTACTAGGTCCTCTCTCTACCTGCTCCGTGTGCTTTATCATACCTCGTCTTAAAGCTATGTATGGTTCCTGCCTCCACTACGTCACTTTCTAGGCTATTTCACTGCCTGACAACTTTGTGACTCCTTGTTTCTGTGTCCCATTTCTGGAACATCCTGTCTTTTTCACCTCGTCTATTCCGCGCAGTATTTTATATGTGTGTTCCCTGACCTTCCTGTCCTCCAGTGTCGTCAGGCCAATTTCCCTTAACCTTTCTTCTTAGGACAATCCCCTTAGCTCTGGGACTAGTCTTGTTGCAAATCTTTGCACTTTCTCTAATTTCTTGACGTGTTTGACCAGGTGTGGGTTCCAAACTGGTGCTGCATACTCCAGTATCGGCCTGACGTACACAGTGTATAAAGTCTTGAACGATTCCTTACTGAGGTACCGGAACGTTATTCTCAGGTTTGCCAAGCGCCCAAATGCCGCAGCAGTTATCTGGTTAATGTGTACTTCTGGCGACGTACTCGGCATTATACTCACCCCTAGATCTTTCTCCTTGAGTGAGGTTTGCAGTCTTTGGCCGCTTAGCCTATACTCTGTCTGTGGTCTTCCTTGCCCTTCTCCGATATTCAACACTTTGCGTTTGGCAGGGTTAAATTCTAGGAGCCAGTTACTGGACCACGCGTCCAGCCTGTCCAGGTCTCTTCGTAGACCTGTCTGGTCCGCATCTGATTTAATTCTCCTCATTAACTTCACATCATCTGCAAACAGGGACACTTCTGAGTATCTCTTCCGTCATGTTCACATATACCAAGAATAGCACTGGTTCTAGGACTGACCCCTGTGGGACCCCGCTCGTCACAGGTGCCCACTGTGATACGTGTGTGTGTGTGTGTGTGTGTGTGTGTGTGTGTGTGTGCACTCAGCTCATTGCTTTCAAGAGATTGCTGTTGCATGGGTCAAGTCTTAGCTCCTGACCCCGCCTCTACCCTGGCCTGGTTTACTCTCACTTGGGTGGGTGGGTGGGCCCTGTCGTACCTATTCATAAAACTCTGTATGGATCTCTCCTCTGCCACTGAGTGTGAGTATATATAGGTAAGTGTCAGTGAGTTTAAATGATCAGAGATAACACTCACCTCCTTGGGTCTTGAAGATAACAGTATAACGGGATATACGCAAGATAACGATGTGATCTTCATCCAGTAAGATAACACCTGTGGGAGATTGACAGAGTGAGAATGTTTGTGGGAATGTGGGAGAGCGATGGTGTGGGAGTGTGTGTGGAAGAGTGATGGTGTGAGAGTGTGTGTGGGAGAGTGATGGTGTGGGAGTGTGTGACAATGTAGGAGAGTGATGGTGTGGGAGAGTGATGATGTGGGAGACTGATGATGTGGGATAGTGATGATGTGGGAGACTGATGATGCGGAAAGTGATGGTGTGGGAGAGTGATGGTGTGGGAGCGTTATGGTGTGAAAGAGTGATGGTGTGGGAGAGTGATGGGTGTGGGAGGGGAGTGAAGGTGTGGGATAGTGAAGTTTGGGATAGTGAGAGTGATGGTGTGGGAGAGTGATAGTGTGGGAAAGTGATGGTGTGGGAAAGTAATGGTGTGGGAGAGTGTGAGAGAGATTATATGGGAGAGTGATGGTGTGGAGAGTGGTGTGGGAGCGTTATGGCGTGAAAGAGTGTGTGAGAGTGTGTGAGAGTGATGGTGTGGGAGAGTGATGGTTTGGGAGTGTGAGAGTGTGGAGGAGGAGTGAGAGTGAGAGAGTGATGGTGTGGGAGAGTGATGGTGTGGGAGAGTGATGGTGTGGGAAAGTGATGGTGTGGGAAAGTGATGGTGTGGGAGAGTGTGAGAGAGATTATGTGGGAGAGTGATGGTGTGGGAGAAAACAGATCGAAAGAAAGGAAACACCACACACACACACACACACACACACACACACCACACACAATCACACCACAACTATATATATATATATATATATATATATATATATATATATATATATATATATATATATATATATCTTTCTTTCAACACACCGGCCGTATCCCACCGAGGCGGGGTGGCCCAAAAGGAAGAACGAAAGTTTCTCCTTTTACATTTAGTAATATATACAGGAGAAGGGGTTACTAGCCCCTTGCTCTCGGCATTTTAGTCGCCTCTTACAACACGCATGGCTTACGGAGGAAGAATTCTGTTCCACTTCCCTATGGAGATAAGAGGAAATAAACAAGAACAAGAACTAGAAAGAAAATAGAAGAAAACCCAAAGGGGTGTGTATATATATGCTTGTACATGTATGTGTAGTAGTGGCCTAAGTGTAAGTAGAAGTAGCAAGACATACCTGAAATCTTGCATGTTTATGAGACAGAAAAAAAAGACACCAGCAATCCTACCATCATGTAAAACAATTACAGGTTTTCCTTGTACACTCACTTGGCAGGACGGTAGTACCTCCCTGGGCGGCTGCTGTCTACCAACCTACTACCTTGAATATATATATATATATATATATATATATATATATATATATATATATATATATATATATATTATATATATATATATATATATATATATATATATATATATATATATATATTGAAAAATGTTTCTGTCTAGATATTGCCCTCTCTCTCTCTCTTCCTCTCTCTCTCTCTCTCTCTCTCTCTCTTCTCTCTCTCTCTCTCTCTCTCTTCTTCTCACACACACACACACACACACACACACACACACACACAAACACACACACACACACACACACATGTGTGGGTCCGTGGGGTGCAGACGGGGGTAACAAGGCTCCGAGAACCTTAGCGTTGTAAGGCGTGCAATAACAGCTAGCAGTAATCAGTGGTAGTGGAACGTCAGTGAACAATGCTATGAGTGATAATTAAAGTTATTAGTTAAAGAAAGTGAGAGGAAAGCTGAAATCATAATATTTCAAAGCGCAAACCGTTGGGGGTCTTAGGCGCTGTTGCCACATTGGCAGCGGTAGGCCTGAAGAAGTGACGTCACGACAAGTTGTGTGCCATTATACATATAAAGTGAAGTGTATATAATGTGAAGTGTATACTATCATCAGTGAAGAGGGAAATCGCGTGAGGAAGCGGGATGTATGAGAATATATGGTTATAAACATCACGGGTGAAGGATCTCCAAAATAGGAGTTTAAGACCTACGTACAACGACTTCGTCATCAGCAGCTGGCAACCTGTCACCGCACCATTGAGCGCAAGTTTATTCGCCTATTTGTGATTTGCATGTTGACGGCCCTGGCTGGCCTTGCATACTGTTTGATACTGGTCACTCACTCCTGCAAGCTATTACCAGATTTAGAATAGAAATAGCATAGACATAGAGAATATAGTGTTGACGAGTGTGAGAAGGTAGGTGGGACAAGCTTTTAAGGGCAACATTGTAAGACGGTGCTAGGGTCAAGTCCCAGGAGGGTTGTGTCAGGTCACAAGAAGTTTCGCCAGTCATTTACATGCACAAGACACCTCCGCACACACACTGACACACTACACAATGCCAACGCACAGGCAGTGTTACTACGAAGTTATAGCAGTAAGAATATTAGGAAGTTAGAAGTCGTCCCCAAGTGAATAAGGGAAATTAATAACCACACAATTAAGCGTAAATCCAGGAAGGGCATTAAGTGGAGGTCAGAAGAATTGGAAGCAGTAATAAGACAAAATTTGCTACACGACACTCAACCACACACACCTACCCCCCTAACCCTCCCCGCTCACAGCAAGTCACACTACCAAAATAGGTGAGTACACGACACACAACATGACACACACACCACACACACACACACACACACAATAACGAGTTGAAAAGTATGAGCTAATCGAGAAAGGGCCTATAGCAACCGGTGAAAGGGGGCCAGGAGCAGGACTCGACCCTGCAACCACAAATGGATGTACAAATAGTGAGTACACACACACACACACACACACCACCACCACCACACACACACACACACACAACAGACACACACACACACACACACACACACACACACACACACATTCTTCAGTCAGAGTTGTCAGCAAGTGGAATAGCCTAGTAAGTGAAGTAATGGAGGCAGGAACCATACATAGTTTTAAGAAGAGGTATGACAAAGCTCAGGAAGCAGAGAGAGAGAGGACCCAGTAGCGATCAGTGAAGAGGCTGGGCCAGGAGCTGAGTATCGACCCCTGCAACCACAATTAGGTGAGACAATAGTGTTTGACAAAAGTTGACAGTCGACCTGGATTGTCTAGATTTCTATGCCTTGTTTAACTGTGTTTTATCACGACCACCGCTACTACCACTACCACAACAACAACCACTACTACCACTACCACAACAACCACTACCACAGCAACTACTACCACAGCAACCACCACTACTACCACCACCACACACAACACCACTACCACAACACACCACTACACCACTACCACACAACAACCACACTACCACTACACACAACCACTACCCACAACAGCTACCACACAACCACTACCACAGCAACCACCACTACTACCACAACCACCACTCCCACTACTACCACACAATACTACCACAACATCCACCACTACTACCACTACCACAACAATCACCACTACTGCTGTCACCACTACCACAACAACCACCACTCTACCACCATCACCACAACAACAACAACCACCACTACTACCACCACTTCCACTATTACTACCACCACCACTACTACCACTATCACGACCACCACTATCATCACTACCATTACCACCACTATCACCACCACAACTACTACCACCATACCACTGTCACCACCACCATTACCACCACTATCATCACTACCACTATCACCACTACCACTACCACAACAGTGTATAATATCATGTGTCACTCTTTCATTGTTAAACTTAAAAATACCATAAAAACTCTGATTTTTATTTTATTTTCAGAATTCTTTTTCTCATTTACATTGTATATAAAATTATCTACAATCATTTAAAAAAGTATTTGATTTTGATTTTGTTAAAAGATGCAATTAAATAAAATTTGGCAAAATAAATTTGACAAATAGGAACCCACACAGGTCAAAATTAATACCAAAATATTTCCAATGAAGATACGTATTTTTTTTATATTTTATTTAAAACCATATACAAATACACAGGTCGGAATATACATAACATTGTAACAATAAACAGGTAATGAGCAGGCTTTGAACAGTGGCACAACACACACTACTGACAACTGCCACGTACATTATTGAGTAATATGATAAACAGAAGTACTCAAAACTCGTACAGTCCTAACACTAACCTAACTCCTACACGCAGCTGCTACTTACACTGCTGCGCTGAAGACAATGGTTTCTATGCAGCAATACATGCGGTCATAACACCTTAGCGCTGACACTCACCCCCCCCCCTCACAAGTGACTACAATCTATGTACACGTGGCATACCCTTCAACAATGACTGTCGCCTTAATTGCACGTGTTGCAATGCCCTGATCATGGGTAACATTCGTAGTACAAAATATCATCAATAACTACCCAGGCAACATCCGCACTGTATTTACAAGTAATGTCTATACACACCAAGATTTGAGAATCCGCACCTAGGACAACTTCTTAAGTGTGATAATTGAACAATGTACTAGTACTATTATGCTCAAACTACATATGCATATGTAGACGGACTCTTAGTATTACATTGGACAAACACTCTATTGGTACCACTCATTCATTCACAATCCACACTCTTAACCTAAAAATCCTAATCTACAGAAACACAACTGTCCACGCCGGATATCCACACACCAAAGCCAACACACTGCCCCCCTCCTTCCACTCCATGCACTCTCTCACCCAGGAACAAAGCCTGTTGTATGCCCCAATGACCCCCTCCCTTCTATCACTCTCCATGCCCTTCACCGACCCCCCTTCCCACCTCACAGGGTCAGGCACCCAACAGTGAGATTCCTGTAACCTTTCGGAAATCGTGAACTCCACAGGTTTCCATATACAGTATATCTTCATTTCGACACTTCGTCCTGTAAAACGTCACCTCATTCCCCAATCCCCCCCCCCTCCGAAAACCTCACATGATAAAAATATAGTCCACTACTACATAAGTCACCGCCCTTGCCACTTCCTCAGACCCCCCTCCCCCATTTCACTTCTAAACTGAGTGCCCTCAACACTGACATCCGCCGCCTTCCCCACCCTCAACAAAACCCGACTCATCCATTCTCTGATTCCACCCAGCCCCTCGCAAAAATACACTACATGAAATGCTGTCTCCACCTCCCAGCAAAGCCCACATCGCCCATCCTCCACAACCCTCCTATCCTGCAGCACCTACCCCGATGGCAGTGCGCCATGTAGAAACCATACATTACCTCTCGTTTCCTAGGCTGGATCCTCAACTTTCCAAATCTAGACCAAATACCCCCCACAATCATACATCGGGTATAACCCCGCCACCGGCGCTACCACCTTCACCTGTATCCTACCAGGCTCTCTAGCCATCACCATTGCTCTCAATAATTTTTCGCGGTCACACACAACTCCGCTCCCCGATACGTTTACCACAATATCTCATACACTCACCCCAGATTTTCCCTGTGGAATACCCCTGCCCTCATCACCACTCGTTTAACAAACACACACAATATCCTCTTACGCAAATTCAGGAGCCCTAAACCGCCATGACACACCGGTAATGTAACCACCTCCCTCCTCAACCAATCGTATCCCGACCCCCATAAAAATTCCAACACCCTCCATGTGGGATGTGTGTAATCGCCTGCCCCATAAGCGGGTACACGTTTGCCACATACCACACCTTACTATAGAGCAATACATTAACCGCAAGAGCCCTCTGAATTAGTGTTAAATGATACGGCCTCAACATTATCAGCCTGTTCTCCACCCTATTTACTAACCTTGCGGAGTTGGCCTCTCGTGCCCCACCCTTATCACCCACATAAATGATACCACAAATCTATAAACTCCTTTCCACCTTCTGCAACACTGAGCATTCCCACACCTCTCGATTCTCCCATTCACCCAAACCCATAATCTTCGATTTACCTACATTAACCTCCATTCCCGTAGCTCAGCCAGACGTCCTCACCACACCCTTTAACCATTCCAGCCTCGCGTGCACATCTACTAAGAGGGTAGTGTCATCCACATAACCCACTAACCCTGGCACTATCGCCCCCACCCTTCCACACACCCGTTCTTCCACTAACCTATAAAAGGGGTGCTGCACACATGCAAAGAGCATCTGCAACAGCAGACACCCCTCCCCATGGCCACCTCCCCCCCACACGACCGTTAATCTGCACCCTTACCTTTCCACCCCTGTACAACATATCTACCCACCTCGCAGTTTCCTCTCCAAACCCCTGCCTGATGAAAATTCCAAGCATAGCTTCTCTTTCCACCGTATCATAAGCTCCCCTCCAGTCCAAGGCCAGCAACACCCCTCTGCTCCCCCTCCCACTCATGTCCTCTACAAACCCATCCAGAACCCCATGCCCATTCAACAGTGACCGACCTGGTAATCCATACTGTCCTGGTGACACCACCCTATCTACCACACACTTCATGCGATTACCCAACTCCTTTACAAATATCTTATCAGCACACATCAGCGAAATGGCTCTATAGACACAAAGGGTCCACTGCGTCTTCCCCTTTGGCACCAACACCACCACCACCGTCGCCTGCACCTCCCCCCTCCTTCATCGCATTCAACAACCTCACCAAAAATCCCCTCATTATATCCCAATACTGCACATAAAATTCACACAGAAAACCATCCAAATCTGGAGATTTACTTCTTCCCATTGCTGACACCGCCTTCCATATTTTATCCTCTTCAATCACACCCCCAATACCTTTCTGTCACTTGCACCAAGCTGATACAGTATACTTGCATACACCCCCTCCACACCTCTACTAGTCCAATATCCCCCATATCACCTATCAGCATACACCCCATTCCCTCTGTCATTCTTATCACCTGTCCCTCCCGGCAATCCTCTGCAGTACCATGCACCTCCAAATGTGACATAGTGGTGGCCTTTCTTCTCTTCTGCTACCCAAGCAGCACACACACCAAAGGCCTATCTCCCCATAACACTTCCTCAGTGCCCACCTGCACCGCATCAAAACGCTCGTCCTGAATACCCCGAATCCTCTCCTTCAACTCCTCAATGTCTGCCAGTGGGTATACCACAGACTCGACCCCTCGCCCATGACAACACAGCCTGTCTTCAAAATAATTAGTCAAGCCATATTTCAACTGGTTTATCCGTTTGCCCTCGCACACATAAAACTTGTGTATCTCCAGCTTTGCTAAAACATCCCACCAACCCACTGCGTCGTCCGCCACATCTCCCCTCCTCGCTTAATCTCCCCAAAACTCCTCAAAACTTCCCCACCACCTCCGCATTAGTTAAGTCTCCAGTATTCAACTTCCAGTAACTTCTGTGTCTCTGATGATCCGAATATACGCTGCCACGATCGTACTTAGAGACACAACATGCACCCTTGGTATTATATAGACTGTCCAACCATGTCCCATACCCCGTCCTCACAAACTTATGATCTGACCTGCCCCCCTTGGTACCACATCACCCCGCCTAATGGCACAATTCCAATCCCCCCCCCCCGACAATCGCCAACAATGGTAAGAGCCAAAGAACATACACTAAATCCTCCCTCACAAAAGCATCCTTCACACGCACATTCCCATCTGCTGGAACATACAAACACACGAGAGACACGGAAAGTTGGATGAGGAAGAAAATGAAAAAAAAAGTAATTCAGGCAACCTGTTAAAATACTCTTCCGGGGACACGTTAATATTACTCAAAAAGGTGAGAGGACACTGACCTTGGCAGAGGCAGGGACGTGGACATGTGCTGCCTGCAGCATCAACAGTACATGGTAGGGCAGCACCAGCAGCACTGACAACAGCATAGCACCACACAACACACTCACACCTCCACCAGACCTTAGTACCTGCAACACAAGACAGCTTACTGTGGGTGTGGGGCAAGCAGGTAACTTACTGTGGGTGTGGGGGAAGCATGTAGCTTACTGTGGGTGTGGGGGAAGCAGATAGCTTACTGTGGGTGTGGGGGAAGCAGGTAGCTTACTGTGGGTGTGGGGGAAGCAGGTAGCTTATTGTGGGTGTGGGGGAAGCAGGTAGCTTACTGTGGGTGTGGGAAGCAGGGAGCTTATTGTGGGTGTTGGGGAAGCAAGTAGCTTAAATGTGGGTTTGGGGGGAAACAGGGAGCGTACTGTGGGTGGGGAAAGCAGGGAGCTTACTGAGGGTGTGTGGGGGAAGCAGGTAGCTTACTGTGGGTGTGGGGAAGCAAGTAACTGAGGGTTTGGGGGAAGCAGGTAACTTACTGTGGATGTGGGGGAAGCAGGGAGCTTACTGTGGGGTGGGGGAAGCAGGTAGCTTACTGTGGGTGTGGGAGAAGCAGGTAGCTTATTGTGGGTGTGGGGGAAGCAGGTAGCTTACTGTGGGTTTGGGGGAAGCAGGTAGCGTACTGTGGGGGTGGGGGAAGCAGTTAGCTTACGTGAGTGTGGGGGAAGCAGGTAGCTTACTGAGTGTGGGGGGGAAGCAGGTTGCTTAATGTGGGTGTGGGGGGAAACAGGTAGCTTACTGTGGGTGGCGGTAAGCAGGTAGCTTACTGTGGGTGTGGGTGAAGTAAGTAGCTTACTGTGGGTGTGGGAAAGCAGGTAGCTTACTGTGGGTGTGGGGAGCCAGGTAGCTTACTGTGGGTGTGGTGAAGCAGGTAGCTTACTGTGGGTGTGGGGGAAGCTGGTAGCTGGGTGTGGGAAAGCAGGTAGCTTATTGTGGGTGTGGGGGAAGCAGGTAGCTTACTGTGGGTGTGGGGAAGCAGGTAGCTTACTGTGGGTGTGGGGAATGAGGTAGCTTACTGTGGGTGTGGGGAAGCAGGTAGCTTACTGTGGGTGTGGGGGAAGCAGGTAGCTTACCGTGGATGTGGGGAGGCAGGTAGTTTACTGTGGGTGTGGGAAAGCAGGTAGCTTACTGTGGGTGTGGGGGAGCAGGTAGATTACTGTGGATGTAGGGAAAGCAGGTAGCTTATTGTGGGTGCGCGGGAAGCAGATAGCTTACTGTGGGTGTGGGTGAAGCAGGTAGCTTACTGTGGGTATGGGGGAAGCAGGTAGCTAACTGTGGGTTTGCGGGAAGCAGGTAGCTTACTGTGGGTGTGCGGGAAGCAGGTATCAAACTGTGGGTGTGTGGGAAGCAAGTAGCTGACTGTGGGTGTGGGGGAAGCAGGTATCTAACTGTGGGTTTGCGGGAAGCAGGTAGCTTACTGTGGGTGTGGGGGAAGCAGGTAGCTTACTGTGGGTGTGGGGGAAGCAGGTAGCTTACTGTGGGTGTGAGGAAAGCAGGTAGCTACTGTGGGTGTGGGGAAAGCAGATAGCTTACTGTGGGTGTGGGGAAACCAGGTAGCTTACTGTGGGTGTGGGGAAAGCAGGTAGCTACTGTGGGTGTGGGGGAAGCAGGTAGCTTACTGTGGGTGTGGGGAAAGCAGATAGCTTACTGTGGGTGTAAGGAAAGCAGGTAGCTACTGTGGGTGTGGGGAAGCAGGTAGCTTACTGTGGGTGTGGGGAAGCAGGTAGCTTACTGTGGGGTGGGGAAAGCAAAGGGAGCTACTGGGGTGTGGGGGGAAGCAGTAGCTTTACTGTGGGTGGGGGAAGCAGATAGCCTACTGTGGGTGTAAGGAAAGCAGGTAGCTACTGTGGGTGTGGGGGAAACAGGTAGCTTACTGTGGTGTGGGGAACAGGTAGCTTTCTGTGGGTGTGGGGGAAAACAGGGAGCTACTGTGGTGTGGAAATCAGGTAGCTTACTGTGGGTGTGAGGAAAGCAGGTAGCTACTGTGGGTGTGGGGAAAGCAGGTAGCTTACTGTGGGTGTGGGGGAAGCAGGTAGCTTACTGTGGGTGTGGGGAAAGCAGGTAGCTTACTGTGGGTGTGGGGAAAGAAAGTAGCTTACTGTGGGTGTGGGGAACGCAGGTAACTTACTGTGGGTGTGGGGAAAGCAGGTAGCTTACTGTGGGTGTGGGGAAGCAGGTAGCTTACTCTGAGTGTGGGGAAAGCAGGTACCTTACTGTGGGTGTGGGGGAAGCTGGTAGCTGGGTGTGGGAAAGCAGGTGACTTACTGTGGGTGTGGGGGAAGCAGGTAGCTTACTGTGGGTGCGGGGAAGCAGGTAGCTTACTGTGGGTGTGGAGAATCAGGTAGATTACTGTGGATGTGGGGAAAGCAGGTAGATTACTGTGGGTGTGGGGAAAGCAGGTAGCTTACTGTGGGTGTGGGGGAAGCAGGTAGCTTACTGTGGGTGTGGGGAAAACAGGCAGCTTACTGTGGGTGTGGGAAAAGCAGGTAGCTTACAGTGGGTGTGGAGAAAGCAGGTAGATTACTGTGGATGTGGGGAAAGCAGGTAGCTTACTGTGGGTGTGAGGGAAGCAGGTAGCTTACTGTGGGTGTGGGGAAAGCAGGTAGCTTACTGTGGGTGTGGGGAAAGCAGGTAACTTACTGTGGGGTGTGGGAAAGCAGGGAGCTTACTGTGGGTGTGGGGAAGCAGGTAGCTTACTGTGGGTGTGGGGAAAGCAGGTAGCTTACTATGGGTGTGGGGGAAGCTGGTAGCTGGGTGTGGGAAAGCAGGTGGCTTACTGTGGGTGTGGGGGAAGCAGGTAGCTTAATGTGGGTGCGGGGAAGCAGGTAGCTTACTGTGGGTGTGGGGAAAGCAGGTAGCTACTGTGGGTGTGGGGGAAGCAGGTAGCTTACTGTGGGTGTGGGGAAAGCAGGTAGCTTACTGTGTGTGTGGGTGAAGCAGGTATCAAACTGTGCGTGTGTGGGAAGCAGATGGCTGACTGTGGGTGTGAGGGGAAGCAGGTAGCTTACTGTGGGTGTACGGGAAGCAGGTAGCTTACTGTGTGTGGGTGAAGCAGGTAGCTTACTGTGGGTATGGGGGAAGCAGGTAGCTAACTGTGGGTGTGGGGAAAGGAGGTAGCTTACTGTGGGTGTGGGGGAAGCAGGTAGCTTACTGTGGGTGTGGGGGAAGCAGGTAGCTTACTGTGGTTGTGGGGAAAGCAGGTAGCTTACTGTGGGTGTGGGGAAAGCAGGTAGCTTACTGTGGGTGTGGGGAAAGCAGGTAGATTACTGTGGGTGTGGGGAAAGCAGGTAGCTTACTCAGGGCGTGGGGAAAGCAGGTAGCTTACTGTGGGTGTGGGGAAAGCAGGTAGATTATTATGGGTGTGGGGAAAGCAGGTAGATTACTGTGGGTGTGGGGAAAGCAGGTAGATTACTGTGGGTGTGGGGAAAGCAGGTAGATTACTGTGGGTGTGGGGAAAGCAGGTAGATTACTGTGGGTGTGGGGAAAGCAGGTCGATTACGTGGTGTGGGGAGAGGCAGGTAGCTTACGTGGGGATGGGAAAAACAGGGAGATTACTTTTGGGGTGGGGAAAGCAGGTACTTACTGTGGGTTGGGGGGGAAAGCAGATAGATTACTGTGGGTGTGGGAAAGCATTTAGCTTACTGTGGGGTGGGGGAAAACAGGTAGCTTACTGTGGGTGGGAAAGCAGGTAGATTTTCTGTTGGTGTGGGGAAAGCAGGGAGATTAAATGTGGGTGTGGGGAAAGCAGGTAGATTACTGTGGGTGTGGGGAAAGCAGGTAGCTTACTGTGGGTGTGGGGAAAGCAGGTAGCTTTCTGTGGGTGTGGGGAAAGCAGGTAGCTTACTGTGGTTGTGGGGAAAGTAGATACCTTACTGTGGGTGTGGGGAAAGCAGGTAGATTACTGTGGATGTGGGGAAAGCAGGTAGCTTACTGTGGGTGTGGGGATAGCAGGTAGATTACTGTGGATGTGGGGAAAGCAGGTAGATTACTGTGGGTGTGGGGAAAGCAGGTAGCTTACTCTGGGTGTGGGGAAAGCAGGTAGCTTACTGTGGGTGTGGGGAAAGCATGTAGATTATTATGGGTGTGGGGAAAGCAGGTAGATTACTGTGGGTGTGGGAAAAGCAGGTCGATTACTGTGGGTGTGGGGGAAAGCAGGTAGATTACTGTGGATGTGGGGAAAGCAGGTAGATTACTGTGGGTGTGGGGAAAGCAGGTCGATTACTGTGGGTGTGGGGAAATCAGGTAGATTACTGTGTGTGTGGGGAAAGCAGGTCGATTACTGTGGGTGTGGGGAAAGCAGGTAGCTTACTGTGGTATGGGGGAAAACAGGTAGCTTACTTGGTGTGGGGAAAGCAGGTAATTACTGTCTGTGTGGGGAAAGCAGGTAGATTACTGTGGGTGTGGGGAAAGCAGGTAGCTTACTGTGGGTGTGGGGAAACCAGGTAGCTTTCTGTGGGTGTGGGGAAAGCAGGTAGATTACTGTTGGTGTGGGGAAAGCAGGTAGATTACTGTGGGTGTGGGGAAAGCAGGTAGATTACTGTGGGTGTGGGAAAGCAGGTAGGTTACTGTGGGTGTGGGGAAAGTAGGTACCTTACTGTGGGTGTGGGGAAAGCAGGTAGATTACTGTGGATGTGGGGAAAGAAGGTAGCTTACTGTGGGTGTGGGGAAAGCAGGTAGATTACTGTGGATGTGAGGAAAGCATCGATACTTTTTGGGTGGGGGGAAAGCAGGTAGCTTACTGTGGTTGGGAAAGCAGTACTTACTGGGGGTTGGGGAAAGCAGGTAGATATAGGGTGTGGGGGGGGAAAGCAGGTAGTTACTGTGGGTGGGGGGAAAGCAGGTAGATAAATGTGGGTTGGGGAAAGCAGGGAATTACGTGGGTGTGGGAAACAGTAATTTTACTGTGGGTGTGGGGAAAAACAGGTAGATTACTGGGGGTGTGTGGGAAAGCAGGTTAGCTTACTGTGGGTGTGGGGAAGCCAGGTAGATTAACTTTGTGGTGTGGGGGAAAGCAGGTAGATTACTGTGGGTGTGGGGAAAGCAGGTAGATTACTGTGGGTGTGGGGAAAGCAGGTAGATTACTGTG